CCCCAAAACCCCAAAACCCCAAAACCCCAAAACCCCTAAAAAATTAGCAATTATTGAAATCAAAGATGGACCAGCAAACAGCAAACAAGCTCTTCAAAGAATACGGATGTATCCTCCTACTCAACTTCCCCGCTCAGTTCGACTTCAACATTGACAATCAAGTCTGGGTGACCAACGACAAGTTCATGGGGCTGAAGCTGGTTCCGCCTGGAGGGCACTATGTGCACTTCTCTGAGAAGAAGTCACAGATAGGAGAAAAATTTGGATTCTTTCATTATTTCAACAAATCCGAAGTTGTTGTTAAAACCTGGAATAATCAACATGAATGCTTTGAAGGCCTCCCAGAAGGAGAAGAACTCGCCTACATTGAAGGTGTGAGAAATTACGCTTTTGACCAGAACTTAGGTGCTTACTCTCAGGTAGAATACTCTCAATGGAAATGTTTGAGCAACTACCTAACAAAAGAAGTCATCTCAAGATTAGAGCCAATAGCTAAATCAGGAAATATGAGTAAAGAAATCCTGTCAAATGCTAGAGAAAAGAGAATCAGAGACCAAGAAGAGCAAAAAGATGAGAAGAAAGACAACCAAAAAGATGCTGATAAGGACTCTGAAGATGAAGAGAAAATTGTTACAGAAAAATCTGACCTAAAATTTGAAACTATGATGAAAAATAACTCGAAAATGGATAAAATTGAAGGAGATTTTGATGAAAATATAATAAAGAGTCTTGAAAAAGAGCTCAAAAAAGAAGATGAGAGGATGGAAAAAGCCATGAAATATATGTATGAGTACAAAGAAGCATATGGCAATGTCTATTACACAGATATTCCCATCAGAAAGCTACTCCATGGGTTCACTAAGGAGCAGATAACAAGGTCAAATTTTGATAAGAGTGTAATCTTGAATGAATTAGAGCAGAAATACAAAAAGGAGTATAATAATTCAGAAGAAGGCTTTTACAAATCCTTCCTTGGAGAACTTCAATTCGCATTTATACTCTTCTACCTTGGCCAGAATTATGAAGGATTTGAGCAATGGAAGAAAATAATCTGCTTGGTTTGCCATTGTGACGAAGCAATTTCAACTAATAAAGAGTTCTTTACAGACCTAATTCCTGTTATCTATGAGCAGTTAGACCAACTTCCAAATGATTTCTTTGATTTTCAAAATCAAGGTGGGGCATATTTGGAACCGAACAGCAGGAAGAAAGGGTCAGAGCTAAAGAATAACTTCATCATAGAATCCTTAAATTCCTTCTATGAGATTTGTATATCAGAGCCGATTGAGGGAAGGAAGGTATCTAAAAAGATAAAATCCCGTGTTAAAAAGTTAAGGGCTTTGATGAGTGAGAAATTTGATATAAACGTAACCACTGAAGATGAAAGACTGACTCACCTTCTTTCTAAGAGTAAAGATCTCTGAGCTCTATCTCAAATCCAGGAGGCTGATGGTACATTGGTAGAGAGGGAGCAGCAAGTCAGCAGAAGACTGGCTGATAATAACGAGGAAGAGCAAATGAGTGACAATATTGAGATGGATAATGATAATACCTATGATAACGAAGAGAATCAGGCTTTAAACAGAGTAACTAGCAAAGATATTGAAATACTAAGAAGGCAATTTGAAGAAGAAGATGATGAATATCTTCCTTCTATAGTAGACCTAAATGAAAAGTTAATCAGCTTCAATTAATTTGATAATTGCAGGGGTTTTGGGGTTTTGGGGTTTTGGGGTTTTGGGG